TTTTTTAAAAATATTTAATTTTATTTATTATTATTATCTTTTAATTTGCTACAGGTCATATGTATTCACCAGAGAGAGACAGAAAGAGAGCGAGGGAGGGAGAAGGAAAGTGAAAAATCAAGCTGCTAGGTCTGGGACTCAAACTACAGTCAACTATGTGGGAGTCCAGCACTGCAACCACCATGCCACCTACAGGCCCCCCTCTGGCAGTTAAAAAAATATTAAACACTGGGCCAGCCAGGTAATATGATAGTTAAGATTGATTCCACATGGCTGACTAGGCAGTTTGAGTCCCAGACCTGGCAGCTTGAAAAACATGCCAGGCACATATGCCCAAAATCCCAAAAAAGAGAAAGGAAAAGGGATGGCAGAGTGGTCATGCCCTCTAAAGGAGTGATTTCTCACTTTATTATTATTATCTATAATAAATAAAATTAAATAAATAATTCTTCAGGCTAGCAGGTAACATAGTGGTTAAGGCACAGGACTCCTACATGGCTGACCACAGTTCAAGCCTCAGAACTGGTGGCTTGAAAATCACACTAGGCGGGACCAGCAGTTAGCGTAATGGATATGTCACTGGACTCCCACGTAGTCGACCGCGGTTCGCGCCCCGGACCTGGTGGCTTAAAACTCACTCCGGGTGCGTGTGTGTGCTTGCCCAAGATCCCGAGAGGAGAATGGAGGAGAAGGGATTGCAGTGTGGCCATCCCCCCTGGGGGGTGATTTCTCGCTTTCTGTCTCTCTGTCTCTCTCTGTCTGTCTGGCACGCGCACACGCTCTATAGCAAAAACCTCTCCAAAAATAAAAGAAAATCACACTAGGCATGTGTGCCCAGATCCCAGGAGGACGGAGAAGGGATTTCTCATTTCCTTCTTTTTTTAAAAAATTATTTTATTTATCTTTATCCATTTGTTTATTTTTATTTGACCATAGAGGGATAGAGTTAGAGAGAGAGTGAGAAAGCAAGCTGCCAGTTCTGGGACTCCAACTGAGGGCCACCCATTGCCAAGTGGGAGTCCAGCATCCTTAACCACCACGCCACCTGCTGGCCCCTCACTTCCTTTTCACTGTCTTTTTTTCTCTCTCTCTGGGGCACACATGAATCCTATGGAAAAAATCTTTAAAAAAAAAGAAAAAAAAAGAAAGAAAGGAAAAAAGAAACACATTCTGGATACACGTGGATGAGTGCCTGAAATCCGAACAGGATGGAGAAATAGAGGAGAAAGAATTGTGGGCACAACCAGGCCCCACTGGAGTGTTCTCTCTCTGTTCTTGGCAAGCACACATGCCTCTGGCAATTAAAAAAAAACAAATAAAGGTGGCCGGCACCTGGCATAGTGGTTAAGGGCACTGGACTCTCACATGGCCAACTGCAGTTCAAGTCCCAGACCTGGCAGCTTGCTTTCCCACTTTCCCTCTTTCTTTTTCTCTCTTACTCTGTCCCTCTGTGTTCAAATTAAATAAATAAATTAAATAATTCTTTAAATAATAAAGTTAAATCAAATAATTCTTTAAGAAAGCAAGTAAAAATAAAAGAAAATTTAAATAAAGTTAAAAAAAGATTGGTGACAGTTTGGGGCCATGGATGCTTAATGCACCCATGAGCAACTGGCATAAGGCTGGGAAGTTCTGCAGAACCAAGGCAGGAGATCCCTGGGTACTGGTGGATCTTCGGACCCAGAGTTTGTTACTAACCTGTGTTCTCTACCACTAGGGTATGAAGGACAGAATTTGGGAAAGATCCTCAGGGATTTAGAGACGAGTAAAGTGGTACATATGGATCGATGGTCTGTGGAGGTGATACCCCAGCAAACTTCAGAAAAGAGTGACCCAGTTCCCTTTCACATCATCAACAACTACTTCTCCATTGGTGTGGTCAGTGGAGTGTTGCATGGGAGGAAGTTGAGGGTGGGGGATAAGCAGGCAGAGGCCGGAGGAGGGCAGAATGGGAAGGTGGAGATTGAGGCAGCTGTGATAGAGGGCAATTGGGAGTAGGATACAGTGGTGTGAGTTGCACAGAGAGAACTTGGGACGTGTTGCACCCGGCCTAGGAGAAGGGAGGGAAAGGAGGGGCGAGCCCTACATGAGAGGGAAGGCAGGCCTCTGATCTTACGTGCCCTGAACTCTCCAGGATGCCTCTATTGCTCACCGATTCCACATCATGCGAGAGAAATATCCTGAGAAGTTCAACAGCAGGTGAGGTAAAGGAGAGGGGGGTGTGGACACACACAGCGTGAGGGACCAGGTTGTGACCAAGTCTGACTCAGAATGCTTAGGTGGGCAGTGATGCCTCTAGGGAACAGCCCAACCGAAGCTGCCCTTGTTCCCCAGGGGACTGGAGTTGGGAGGCTGTTGCCCTTCCCTGTCACGCACCACTTGCCAGCACTGTGTAACATGTCTTTTCCCTCCTGGGCCTTGTACGATGGCTGACACAGAATGAAGAACAAGCTATGGTACTTTGAATTTGCCACGTCTGAATCCATCTTCTCAACATGCAAAAGGTTGGAGGAGTGCTTGACAGTTGAGGTATGTATGGTAAGGCCCAACCCGGCATCCGTTTCACCTTCTTAAGTCCAAGACTGTCACTCCACCGGCACCCTCAGCAATGTCTCTTATTTCAAACCTATACTTTGACCTCCCAGCAGTCCAATCCTGATTTCCCAAGTCTCCAACATACACTAGTCCCTACCTCCCACCCATCCTTTATAACCCTCCAAATCCTGGCCTTCCTAGTTTGCCATCTGGTGGAAGGAGTGGTCACATCCAATAGTTATGTCACAAGCTGAGGATCTGTGCCCTGCCCAACTGGGGCTGTCTACCCCTTCCCTCAGATCTGTGGGAAACCGCTGGATCTGAGCAACCTGTCCCTGGAAGGCATCGCAGTGCTGAACATACCTAGCATGCATGGTGGCTCCAACCTCTGGGGTGACACCCGGAGACCCCATGGGGATATCTATGGGATCAACCAGGCCTTAGGTGCTACAGCTAAAGTCATCACCGACCCTGACATCCTGAAAACCTGTGTACCAGGTAAGAGGAGCAACCTAAGAGGAAGGTGTGACTCCTTCTGGGGACACCCTGCTTCTGTAAAACCAATCTCCTACTTCTCACTCCCAGACCTAAGTGACAAGCGACTAGAAGTAGTCGGGCTTGAAGGTGCAATTGAAATGGGCCAGATCTATACGAGGCTCAAGAGTGCTGGACATCGGCTGGCTAAGTGCTCTGAGATCACCTTCCAGTAAGAATGACTCCAACCAGGGGCCCTGAGGGGAGGTGTGGGGCCAGGAAAGCAGAAGGGTTGTGGGACGGTGGGGAAGGGCTTTACCAGATCCTCTTCAGTGACAAGAGGCCTCAAAGCCAACCTGAGTAGTCGAGTTTTGGTATTCGGTTGGTAAAGAAATCTCATCAATTTTCCTTGGCCTCCCACAGCACCAGGAAAACACTCCCCATGCAAATTGATGGGGAGCCTTGGATGCAGACACCCTGTACGGTGAGTATTGCCTACGCTTGCCAAAAACTGAGCCTTCAGGCTCCATGCATCTTAATCTATTCCACAACTTCTTTGCTTCCTCCCATTGCCAGAAGTTCCCTGATCCACCATTCTTCCCAGACCCTGATTTCTCACCCCCTAGCCTCTCTACCTTGGCCTCTCCAGGACCTCGGCAACTCACCCCACAGGTTTCCCCCAAATCTCTGACACTGCAGCCCCAAGGCAACAGGCCCTGCCTTTGAATGTGCTCCTTTCTCTTCCAGATCAAGATCACCCACAAGAACCAGATGCCTATGCTCATGGGCCCACCCCCTCGCTCTTCCAATTTCTTTGGCTTCTTGGGCTGAGGAGGTCACCCTTTTCCAAGCCAGCCTTGAACCCACCTCCCTGTCCCTGGACATCACCCCTAGGCTCTGTACATTGCTGCCACACTCTCCTGCCAGCTCAGGGGAGTGTTCCTTCACCCTTACAGTATTTATTATCCACACCACTTCACTATTCCCTGTGCACATGTCCACATACACACATGCACATACACACACCACAAACACATACATTGAAAGTGCCTCGTCTGAATAAAATGATCGTTTTTCCACTGGGATATCTCTTAAATAAGTGGTACACCACCTTCTTTCACACCTTGACTCCTTGAGTGACATAGATTTTCTCAAAAAGCAGGAAAAAACTGACAGCAGGTTCTGAGTTTTTATTGCAGGTAATGGTAGTCTCCAAGGGAAGACGAGAAAACACAGGTGTTGCTGTCAGCCCCGTAAGAATCAGGGCATCCCATGAGAGTACTCAGACCTGCTGCCCACTGAGGAGTGGACTGTTCTCACCAGTGGGGCAAGTGCGGAAGACCTGGGGGAGACGCAGCCAGTGGATGCTACTGTGTGGTAGCCGGATGGTGGGGAGGGCTGAGTCCTGCTTCATAAATCTGCGCCTGATATTGGGGGAAGAAGGAGAAAACTGGTTAGCAATGGACAAGAGCAAGCCCGTCTGTACTTCTCCAAGAAGGGCGCGTACCCCCATCCTAGGTCTGCTTGGTCTGGGCCCTAGTCCAGACCTTCTCTTCGCCTTCAGGATTCATCTTCTCTAATTTCTGTGGCAACCTCTGCCCCTTCTCCTTCCACCGTATCAACTTCCCTTGTTTGAAGACCTTGGCATGCCAGGCCTGGGAAGAACTCTGTTTACCCTAATTTCCCCACTCTTTATAGTAAGGACAGTCATCAATATCATCAGTTAGTGTACTCTTACTTCAGGGCAAGGTGCTTCCGTCAAATTGTTTCTAATCTTTTTTATTCCTTTGTTTTGGAGAGGTTTTTGCTTTAGGGCACGTGCGCTCGCCAGAAAGACAGACAGAGAAACAGAAAGCGAAAAATCACCCTCCAGGGGGATGGCCATTCCGCAATCCCTTCTCCTCCATTCTCTCGGGATCTTGGGCACGAACGCACACACACCCGGCGTGAGTTTAAGCCACCAGGTCTGGGACGCAAACCGCAGTCGACCACATGGGAATCCAGCGACATAGCCACTACACCAACTGCTGGTCCCAAAATTGTTTCTACTCTTTACATTTGTTACATCAGACAGGTATTAATTTTGGGACCAGCAGTTGGCATAATGACTCTGTTGCTGGAATCCCATGTAGTCGACCATGGTTTGAGTCCTGGACCTGGTGGCTTAAACTCACACCAGGTGCGTGTGTATGCGTGCCCAAGATCCCTAGAGGAGAATGGAAAAGGGATCACAGGGGCGTGGCCATCCCTCCCCCGCCCCCTCCAAGGGGGTGACTTCTCGCTTTCTGTCTTTCTGGCGAGGAGGACACACGTGCTAGAGCAAACACCTCTCCAAAAAAGAAGCTACGCACAGGCAGGTATTAATGTAACTACTTTTCAGAGGCTCAGAAAGGTAAGGCTTCTTCCCCAAGGTCCCAGAGCAAGTCTGCAGCCCAGTCCTGTTTAACTTTCAAGCCTATACTCCTTCCTGAACACCATGCTTCCTCAGAGGGAGTATGGTTTCTTCTCCTCTTGAGGAAGAATGAACGGTGGTAATCAGGGATAAGGGCATCTGAGCTGGAAAGGGCTCCTCACCTATATATCAGAGCTGCAAGCACTACAGCCATCAGCACCAGCAAGATGCCCACAAACAGGGGAGCCTGCCCAAGGCCTGCTTCTTGACCTGTGAACACAACCCAGGCACTGCCCCAATTAGTGTCTGCTCCCTGACAGCTGGGCCTCAGCCCATCCCTGTTTTCATCCTACCTCTTGTCCAAGTACTTACCAGGCATGACGAGCTGAGTGCTGACCATTGCCAGGCTGTTGGCATCAGCCAAAGATACATTGAGGCAGTAGGTCCCTGAGCCGCCCTTCAGTACCTGGTGAAGAACCAGCTGGCAGGCTGGGCTAGGTGGCACAGGCTGGCACAGCCGCTGGGCAGGAGGCTGGCATCCTGGTGATGATATGTCCATACAGGCTTCCTCAGGCAGCCTGGAAGAGGTACCAACTTATATCAGGGGGCCTGGGAAGGGCACTGGACATCAGAAAGCAAGCCAGCAGCCAAAGCAGAAGTTATCAGGGCAGCTGGTGGGACACTCACCCGCCTTGGCAGGCCACTGTCAGCTCAAAAGCATCCCCCTGACTGGATGGCACAGCCTGCAGGATCTCAGCATTCTCAATGCCCTCTGCAGAGTTGCAAGATTATCGATGGGCATGCTGTCCCCAGGTCTTGTCAAAGGCCCATAGCCAGGAAAGCCCCAGAGCTGCTCCCCCAATCACATCCCCACACCTCAAATGACTCTGGCATCTGGGTAGGCCCTCGGCAGTGCATTACCCCTTCCACCAGCCCCCAAAGTAGGCAAGACTCACGGACGATATCCAGGGAGAGGGAAAAAGAACCGTATCGATACAGAACACAATCCAAGGGGACTTGTCTTTTCACCAGCATTAAGGTGGCTGTACCATCCAACAAGGGGCTCAGGGAACCTGGCAGGAGAGGATTGAGGAGGCAAGGTCAAGAGACAGATGACTCACTGGGAGACGGAGGCCAAGCAGGCATCCTTCCAGGTAGAGCCAGAGCTACTGGTTCCTGAAGTCACTGGTTTGGAATCAGACAAAACTGGAATTCTCATTTTATACAAATAGTGACTCCATGGTCACACGGTTAGGGCAAAGTTGGAATTACAAAAGAATCTCAAGTTGTTATACACCACACTATGCCAAGTCCTGGGCTACACACTCAACCCATGTTAAGTTGTCGAAGCATTCCTATCTCATTCTTCCTTTTTTGCTCTGAGGGGATCCAGGGATAGGAAATAGGACCAGGGTCTCAGAATCTGGGAAAGGTTTTTGTACATTTATGCTTACACAGAAAATGAGATATAAATATGTAAATGATCACATCTGTTCCCTGGTCTTCCCTATGGTTCTCAGAGGTAGAGAAGCAACAACCTCACCTCATGTCCTGGGACGGGATCCTGGTTTTCTGATCTGGTCTATTCCATGTTATTAAAAGAGACTTGAAGGCTTTCAAGCCAGTGAGAGCTAAGCAAAGGATTGGGTAACATCTGGGTTCTGGGTAAGACTTTCAGCTCTTCAGAGCGGTGACAAATGGCCGTCAGTGAACTGCATTCACACTGCTCCTCTTACCTGTAATACCTTCTGTAGACACAGCTGGGCTGGCATCTGGACTCTCAGGCTCAGGGGTGGTTAACTCTCCAGCTGTGGTCACCACCAAGTCTGTAGTTGCTACCTGTGCAGTCATGGTTGCAGAGGGTTCTGCAGGTGACACTGCTGCAGTTGTGGCACCTGTGCCCTCTGAGGTTGGCACCTGCTCAGGTGTGGTACCTGTGCCCTCTGAGGTTGGCACCTGCCCAGGTGTGGTACCCGTGCTCTCTGTGGTTGGCACCTGCTCAGCCGTGGTCCCTGAGGGTGCTGCAGTTGGCACCTGGCCAGGTGTTGTACCTACACCTTCTGCAGTAGGCACTTGCCCAGGTGTGGTCCCAGGGGCCGCAGCAGTGGGCACATTCCCATCTGTGGTGCTGGGAACTGGGGAGGAGCCACAGGAGGTGAGTGGAATGGCAGCCTGCAGCACCACCTGGGCAGTGACTGGGCCAGGCTCCAGGTAAGTGTGAGTGACCATAAGTGCCCGAGAGATCAGGGTGCCAGTACTGTCTCCAAAGTCCCAGGTGTAGGAGAGGTCAGCCCCAGCCAAATAGCCACTAGGGTCGTGGAGCTGGAGGGCAAAGGTCAGAGGTTGATTTCTCAAGAAGTGCTTGTTCCCTCCATCCAAGGCCTGCAGCTGTGACACGCTCACAGAGAAGGGAACCTGGTCTGGGGTTGGAGCCAGAAAAAGTGAGAACCGAGTCTGGGCCACAGCTTCTTTCATAATCACTCCCTCCACCCCCGAACTAACTGCCTAGACCTTCACTGGCTCGAAGCCCCACCCCCTGTTCCTCTCCCCACGTCTTCCTGGCCCTGCCCCTTTAAGGTTACAACTATGTCCCCATTCCCCTTTCCAGCCCAGCCAAGTCTCCACACCTTCTCCTGCCCCAAACTGGCCTTGCCCCTTCCTAAACACTTACCAGTAATGGCGAAGGCTGAGCTGGAATGAGCGAGGGGCACGTAGCTCCGGGACCCTCGGTGATGGTAGACGGTCACTTCCATGGTGTGTGTGCCCAGCATTGCCCCGCCTGTCCCAATGGTCAGCCCAGACACAGGACCCCCCAACACTTGCCAGAATTGACCTGAGGTTTTGGGAAAGAAAAGCGAGGGAGGAGGACTAAGGAACAGGTTTAGAAACAGGGTCCCGAAAGAGAAAGAGGCATATCAAGGAGGATTACTTCAGAGGCCAGTATTAGGGGCGAGTGAGGGAGTGACAGAGTCCTAATTGGGGAGGGAGGTGTCCCATGGGTGAGAATATAATTAGAGTAGGGCTTTCAGAAAGATCTGTGATAGGGGCTGGCAGGTGGCATGGTGGTTATAGGGCTGCTGAACTCCCACATGGCCATCCGTGGTTTGAGTTCTGGACCTGGCGGTTTCCTTTCTCTTTCTCTCTCTGTCCCTCTGGTCAAGTTAAAAAATAAGTAAACAAATAAAGTTAAATTTTGAAAAAAGATCTGTAACAGAAAGAGTTGAAGGGGGCTGGGTCCTATGGAAAAGGAAGGAGTCAAGAGAAAAATGAAGGTTAGGGAAAAACAGAGAGGTTAGGGATGAGTCCAAAGGGAAAGGGGGTCAGGTAGGATGAAGTAAACACAAGTGTGGATGACAGGCCAGAGAAGGCAGCCCCCTCACCCCAGGTCTTCCAGACATAAACAAATCTTCTCTTCTGAGACCAAGGGCCAGATGGGCAAGGTCCACCATCAGGGAAGACGCAGGCATCATCAGGCTCCTGGGGATACACTGGCTGTCCTTCCCACACTTGACTCCCTGCAAGGGAGACAGAGACATCTTCAACCTGGCATTCCTTTCTATAAACCAAAAGCCCTTCGGCAGGGGCTCTGGGAACACTCCCTAGTTAGAAAGTACTTTCTCTAGAGCATAACCAATTTGGGCTTGTAGCTGGGAGTGTGGGGTGTGGAAACCTTGAGATTCATATGTATATACTTACATAGGACAGAGATTAGAAGGCCACATATCAAAATGTTTGGAGTGATTCGTTCTAACTTGTGGAATAAAAATAATTGGGATCAACAAATGGTGAAATGGTTAGGTCGCTGGACTCCAGCATAGTTGACCATGGTTCAAGTCCCAGATCCAGTGACTTAAAACTCTCGCCAGGCATGTTTAGGTGCATGCCCAAAATCCCAAGAGGAAAACGGAGGAGAAGGGATTGTAGCGTGGCCATCCCCCCCGGGGGGGGGGGGATTTCTCGTTTTCTGTCTCTGTCTCTCTGTTTCTGGCAAGCATAAACACTCTATAGCAAAGATCTCTCTCTCTCTTAAAAAAAAAAAGAAAAAGAGAGAGAGAGAGAATAATAGCACCAGTTAGCATTTGTAGAGCCTTTACTGTAGGCCAAAGCAGACAGTAAGCTACCCTCTTTGCATATTACCACATCTTAATTCTCTTTTTTTCTTTTTTGAGAGGTTTTTGCTAGAGGGCGCATGCGTTTGCCAGACAGAGAGACAGAGAGACAGAAAGCAAGAAATCAACCCCCTCAGGGGGTATGGCCATGCTGCAATCTCTTCTTCTCCACTTTCCTCTCAGGATCTTGGGCACACACGCACGCACATACATCTGGCGTGAGTTTAAGCCACCGGGTCCAAGACTCGAACCGTGGTCGACTACATGGGAGTCCAGTGACATAGCCATTACACCAACTGCTGGTCCCCAACATCTTAATTCTTAAAACATCCTTTCAACTTAAGTGCCATCCCCATTTTACAGGGGCAAGGTAAACACAAGACAAGCACATTTCCCAAGGTCGTTCTAGTGACGAGTTTGAATCTAGGTCTGTCCAAAGGGATTATGGCATGACTGTCGACCCTGGGGATAATTTCTCACTCTCTCTCTCTCTCTCTCTTTCTGTCTCTCAGGAGAGTGCACACATCCTATAGCAAAAACCTTCAAAAATAAATAAATAAATGAGGGGAAAGAGAGCATTTCTTTTTTTTTTGAAGAGGTTTTTACTGTAGGGCACGTGCATTCGCCGGACAGGCAGAGAGAGACAAGAGAGACAGAAAGTGAGAAATCCCCCCCCAGGGGGAATGGCCACGCCACAATCCCTTCTCCTCCATTCTCCTCTCGGGATCTTGGGCACGCACGCACACGCACCTGGCGTGAGTTTAAGCCACCAGATCCGGGATGCGAATCACGGTCGACTACGTGGGAGTCCAGCGACATAGCCATTACGCTAACTGCTGGTCCGGAAAGAGAGCATTTCTGACCTCACTGGATATACCAACTGTTAATCTATTTTGGCCTAAAACAGCTGTTGTACTCCCACTCTTGGTTCCCTATGGGTAAGCTGAAATCCTACATTGTAGGCTGTTTTCCTGAGCTGGTTGCTAAAGGATAGCCGATCACACTAGCCATGCTTCAGTCAATCACAGAAAGCCCATCTTTTGGGCTGTTTGTGTAGCCTACCATCCACTGGTAACCACCCAATTATTCCTCTATCTCATTCCTTCACTTTGGTTTTTGTCCGTCATTTTCTCTTTTCCAGAACTTAAATCCAAGGTGACCATGAGGCTAGCTGGAACTGTCCGGGGACAACTGCCCTATTTAAATCATATTAAGATTTGCTCAATTAAAACTCTATTAAATTGGTTGCTTTGGGACCAGTAGTTGGTTATGTCACTGGACTCCCATGCAGTTGACCATGGTTCAAGTCCTGGACCCGGTGGTTTAAACTCACGTCAGCACATGTGCATATATGTCCAAGATCCCGAAAGGAGAATGGAGGAGAAGGGATTGCAAGTGTGGCCATTGCCCTGGGGGGTGATTTCTCGCTTTCTGTCTCTCTGTCTCTCTCTGTCTTTCTGGGGATTGCACGCGCCCTATAGCAAAAGCCTCTCAAAAAAAAAAAAAAAAATGGCTGCTTTATTTTTCTTTTAACACAGGAAATCTGAACATAGAAATGGGAGCCAAGAGGGACCACCAGGTGGCATAATGGTTACATTGCTGGAGTCCCATGCAGTCGACCACGGTCTGAATCCCAGACCTGGCGGCTTTTAACTCAAACCTGGTGCATGTGCGTGCATGTCCAAAATCTCAAGAGGAGAAAGGAGGAGATGGAAATCACCCCTGGGGGGTGATTTCTTGCTTTCTGTCTCCCTGTCTCTCTTGCAAGCACACACGCCATATAGCAAAATTCTCTCTAGAAAAAAAAAAAAGAAATTAGGGCCTAGGAGTAGAAAAGTACTCACCATTGATGACCGTGTTGTTGGCCCAGATAACCTGCCCATCTGGCAGTACCTTTTGGCTCTCAGGGAAGTATAAGGCAATAGAGAAGGAGGCATTTGCACCACTCAGTGTAGGTCCATCATTAGTGACCTTCAGGGCCACTGGGCCTCCTGGGAAGGGAAGGGAAGCTGCGTTAGCTAGGCCTCCTTGGTGTCCCATCCCCATGGACCTTTCACTTTCCTAGACTGCCAAGCAATGTTCAACCAGTTCTTCTTGTTCTTCTCCCCACCCCGTTTTTGCTGCACCCTCCTTGGAATTTCCAAGTTCTCACCTTTCCAGCAATCAGGCCTCTGGACTTCAGGCCACTCTGGATAGAGCTGCCTATTCCAGGCTTTAGTTCTGAGCTGCCGTGAGACACCAATCCAGTCCTGGCCTCTGGGTCCTAAAAGGAACGTGCCATGAGAGCTCCAGGGTCCTCAGTTCTTACACAAGAAATAACATTCTATTCCATGTCACCCCACTCGTGCTCACATTCAAAGTATGTTTTAATTTACTGACTACCCACCACGTACTGGCACTTTTCTAAGTATGAAGAACTTAAATATATAAAATATGGCTCTGAGAAGATTCAGAGTGAAGTATAGGAAATACATAAATGACTATGTAATTCAAGACAGTTTTTTTTTTGATAAGTTTTGTTTGTTTGCTTGTTTGTTTGTTTTTTGCTACAGGATGCATGTGCTCACCAGAAGACAGAGAAATAGAGACAGAAAGTGAGAAATCACCCCCCACGGGGGATGGCCATGCTGCAATCCCTTCTCCTCCATTCTCCTTTTGGGATCTTGGGCACGCACACACACAAGTGCCTGGTGTGAGTTTAAGCCACTGGGTCTGGGACTCGAACTGCAATCAACCACATGGGAGTCCAGCGGCATAGTCATTATGCCAACTGCTGGTCCCTCAAGACACTCTTCAATGTACAATAACAGACATACGCTGCAACTAAATGACATATTAAACAGATTAGTTCCACTAGAGCAGGTGGGAAAGACTTGAGTGAGGCGTGGCCCTAGTATGAGCATGGACAAATGCATGGGAGTGTGGAAGTAATGGCATGTTAGGGGACTACCAGCAACGTGGTTGATGTGCACTGTGTGAAATGAGGCTGACAGGATGAGTCGGGCTTCAAGTGTCCGGCTAAGGCAATGAGGAGGGCTCATCATTCAGAACAGTGCTCTTTACTTGTTGCCTCATAGCCCAACACCATGGGAAGTTCTGGACTCCACCCTACAAGCCTCCTTTGTCTTCCTGTCTCTCTGGGTGCACATCTAGGGGAGAGAGCTCTGAGAAAACATCAAAGTTAACGATGAACTTCAATATACCTTGAACCAGATCCAACAACTATCAACATTTTGCCACACTTGGTTTATCTATTCTTATTGATTGTTGCTTTTGGGTTTTTGTTGTTGTTTTGGAGAAGTTTTGCTATAGGGCACGTGCGCTTGCCAGAAAGACAGAGAGACAGAAAGTGAGAAATCACCTCCCAGGGGGGATGGCCATGCCATAATCCCTTCTCCTCCATTCTCCTCTCAGGATCTTGGGCATGCACGCACACACGCCTGGCATGAGTTTAAGCCACCAGGTCTGGGACTTGAACCGTGGTCGACCACATGGGAATCCAGGGACATAGCCATTATGCCAACTGCTGGTCCCATGGTGGTTGTTTTTAAAAAAAAGTATTTAAAAACAGATCTCGGGACCAGCAGATGACTCTCACATGGTCAACCACGGTTTAAGTTCTGGACCCAGAGGCTTGAAACTCACACCAGGTGCATGCACATGCATGCCCAAAATCCCAAAAGTAGAATGGAGAAGGGATTGCAATATGGCCATCCTCTTTGGGGGGTGATTTCTCTCTTTCTGTCTCTCCAGCAAGCACAAATGCCTTATAGCAAAAATATCATAAAAGATAAAATAAAATAAAATGAAAGCAACTTTCAGATATCTTGGTATTTTAATGCTACAAAACAGGTATGTAGTTATAAAAAATAATATTTTCTTGCTTAAGCATGTCATTTCACACTAAACAGAAATCATCAAACCTGGACTGTCAGGTGGCATGGTGGTTAAAGCGTTGGACTCCCACATGGCATTCCATGGTTCGAGTCCTGGACCTGGCAGCTTGCTTTCTCACTTTCCCCTTCTTTCTCGCTCTCTCTGTCTCTTTGGTCAAATTTAAATAAATAAATAACAAATAAAAGAAAATTTTGAAAAATCATCAAACCTGGTCCATATAAAATTTCATGAATATCTAGAAAAATGTCTTCTTATGGTTTTATAAAATGAAATTTAAAGTGTAAGCACAATTTTTAAATAAATATTTTATTTAAATTTATTTATTTATTTATTTTTATTTGACCAGAGAAAGAGAGAGCGAAAGTGAGATAGCAGGTTGCCAGGTCCATGTCTTGAGCCATGGTCAACCACGTGTGAATCCAGTGTCTTTAACCATCTCACCACCTGCTACCCTCAGGCACAATACCTCAGTGGGTGGGCATGAACAAAATGTTTCCAGAATACAGTAAGGAACATTATATAAGAAAAAGACTTGAAACTACAGCATGGGCAAGGAAAGTTAGATCAAGGAGAATTTACTAGAAGTCTGAGACCAGTAATCCAAGAGAAGGGTATGGCGTGCTGGCATATGACGAACATATTTTAGCACAGCAGAAACTACCCTCATCTCATGTTTAATATATACTGGAAACCTAGCTGATTCTGCCCGGGAAGGAATCATCTCATTTCGTTGAGCATCCTACCACTAGAGCAAAAGAAGTCATAAGATGCCCCATTCTTCCTCCGCTCCCACCCTCCCTCCTCAGAGCAGCACGGGACATTCCAGACCCTCTCACCACCCCTACCCCCACCCCTTGCTTCTGTCACGAGGTCCCAATCCCCCAGAGCCCTTTCATGTGATGCTCAGCTGAGACCCCTCTGCCTGTCTCTCCCAGCCCCAGAACAAAAGGTCTGGACTGTGTTCACCCATCTTCACTCAAAGGGAAAAAGGTGGTGCCTCCTTGGCCTTCTTACCCAATACCACATTCTCTTACTCTCCATTTAAATCCTCAACCCCAAGGGCTGAGACATTATCTGCCAGAGTGTCCCACCCGTTTTTCTCCCTTTGGAGTCCCCGCTCCAGCTCACTGCACAGGGTGCTCAGGATCGGTACCCCGAAGACCTACTATCCTTCTGCCCTTCCAAGTAGATGAGATTATCTTCAGGCTCAACCCCAAGTCTCTATATAGGGAGGGTGTTCAGGTGCCCGCATCCAGATTGAATCAAATGGGCGGGAGAAGCCTGAAGTATTGCTGGTAACTCCCGTTAGGAGTTGCTTTTCAATTTTGTTGTTCAAGAAGAGAGGTGTTCAACCCCAAATTCACACCTGCTCACGTCCGCCCACCCACACTCACCTTCTGCAGCCCTCACAGCCAGCACAGCACCCATTGCTACCAAATGGAGAAGGCACCTTCTAAGAACCAGACTCATTGTGTTCTTCCCTCCAGGATCCAAAGGCGCTGAGGGGCTGCGATGAGCCCCTATATAAGAAAGAGGTGCTCATTTGCATAGTCCGTCCCTCTCTCTCCAGGGGAGACCTGGAAGGGGTGGGAGGACAGAAGACAGACAAAACTGGCAAGAGATCTTAATTCTGGACATTCCTTTCCCATGCCCACGAGTTGATGGTAGTTTCTAGTTTCATGAGGTCACTCAGTTCAATCCCCTGGGAAAGAACTGAGAGAAAGGCAGCCACGGAACACGAACCGGACACACACAACTCATCATGGGAAAGTGAATCAATCAGTTGAGTAGAACCAGGGTCCTCTCAAAAAGATCCAAACAGAACCCCCCCTCCCCCCCGCATCCCAAAACAGAGACAGTATGGGGAAGGCTGAGGACTCCGCTGAGGCCCAGGAATCCTTTGCAATGAGGTTCCTGGCTTCCTGCTTGTCAGAGGAAGCTTCCTTAGCTAGGTGTAGTGTAATCTTAGGTCGATACACATTTCCCCAAAGGTGGTGAACATAGTGAGAGATCAGGGATACCTACAAACTACAGGCATATGTAGGACACTCGAGCCCATTGCTTGGGAAAAGATGCCCCGCCCTGCACCGAGGAAGTAACTTGTCTGGCCCCACAGAACCACACTTGCACGGGGCGGGGTCATTAGCGTGAGGCGCGCGGGGCTCGCCCCCCGCCCTGACGTTGACCAATAGGAAGGACTGGAGGCGGAGTCAGGGAAACGCGGGAAGGAGGGGCGGGGCCTCTGGTGGCGGTCGGGAACTAGGGGGGAGGCGGCAACATTGTTTCAAGTTGGACAAATTGACAAGAGCGAAAGATACACTGCGTTCCATCCTGACCTGGGGCCACGGTGCTAGGCCCTGTTTCCCGCTCCTTGGCCCGGGAAAGCCCCGGCCCGCTCTCTGTCGGGTTCCCAGGCCCCCGCTCCAGGGCCGGGCTGACCCGACTCGCTGGCGCTTCATGGAGAACTTCCAAAAGGTGGAAAAGATCGGAGAGGGCACGTACGGAGTTGTGTACAAAGCCAAAAACAAGTTGACGGGAGAAGTGGTGGCGCTTAAGAAAATCCGCCTGGACACGTGAGTGGCCTCTGTACCCGAGACTTCTAACTGGGGAGCTCTTTGACTGTCCCCCGCCCCCAATCGGCGGGTAGACGTCCAGGGGACTGGTCAGGGACTTCCTTTGAAGTGGAGAGGTGGGTTGGGGATCAGCGAGGGTTTCCCTGGGGAGACTAGAGGGTAGTGTAGAATCCGTGGTAAAACTTCCTTCTCAAACTGATTCGGATGATGTACCCCCCAGATATGCACCCAGGGAGACAGGAAGAGAAAGAAAACCTTATAGGGTGGAGTCCAAGACTCTATGTGGGACCCTGAGGAGAACACTTTTCTTAAAAAAAGAGCCGTCCTCATTGCCCCAACCCTATCCTCATCTTAGAATTCTCTCCCTCTTTCTAAAAAAAAAAAAATGGCAGTTGAACCTCACTGGCCCCTGGGGGTGGGGGGTTGGGTACTACACATTTTTTTCATCTATTACTTATGTCTGCTTCACTTTCACCGGGGGTTTGTTTTACTTACCTGCTCCTGTAAGAGAGGAAATAAGACCACAATGTGTCCCAAAGCCACACTCTGACTACCCGGGAATTAACTCCTTACAGTATCTTTCTCTTCTCTTACTTTCCTAGAGGGTCCTGGGGTGGTATCTCCTTGGGAGAAAGTTATGACTGGGCTGGGGAAAAGGAATATTTGTAACCATATTTCCATCTCTGCTTTCCTAACCTCTCCAAGTGAGACCGAGGGTGTACCCAGTACTGCCATTCGAGAGATCTCTCTGCTTAAGGAGCTTAACCACCCTAATATTGTCAAGTAAGTATGTGTCCGGGAGGTGAGCTAATAGGTTAGGAAGCATGCGTGCTGTCTGTATAGTCTGAGCGTTTCTGTCTCCTCCATTTCTTGGACCCTTTCTCTCTCTAGGCTGCTGGATGTCATTCACACAGAAAATAAACTCTACCTGGTTTTTGAATTTCTGCACCAGGATCTCAAGAAATTCATGGATGCCTCTGCTCTCACGGGCATTCCCCTTCCCCTCATCAAGGTAATCCTTATTAACTCCGCCTCACCATGGGCTTGTCTTGAGGGGGCTGGAGGTAGACAATTCAGCCCTGGTGATCATTTGTGATCTTGGCCTCCTTTCCAGCCCTCTTCCCCAGCACACACATACTCCCCTCTCTTTGGTGTCTCTT